CACTAAAATCCCTTAAGTGAAAGAACGAAGCTGAGCACATCTTATCCACTTAGTTCGGTATTTCTATCTAAAATATTTCTTTCCCTTCCTCAGAGCCCTGAAGGTACTGAAATTGAAGAGAGAGACCCTAACGGATGTGTAGAGTTAGAAACAACATAGGACATTGCAAATGACGGGAACTCTGCTTTGTTCAGTGCTTCAGCAGATACTTAACGGTGTCCCTTATGTGGGTCAGGCACATTTCTAGGTATATGGTATATGAGTGCACAGAACATAAACAAGGAGTGTTTCCTTATGGAAATTGCCTTCTGGTGAAGAGAAACAGACAAGCAACGGGTCTTGTTGAATTACTCAGTGTCTTGGAAGGTAATAGGTCTCACAGAAGGAGAAAAGAACCAGACTGCTTAAAGAAAGTGAGGGGGTGGGGAAGCATTACGATAGTAAATTGGGTCTCCATAGTAGGACTCAGCGAAGATGAAATTTGGGGGAAAATGTTAAGGTGGCTAGTGATAAATTCCTCATTTATTCCTGTCCATATGGTACATACCCATTTTCTTGTTTTACTGCACTAGACAAGAACACCAGTATTAATACTGGACACAAGTGTGGAGAGTAGGCATCCTGGTTTTGCTCACGATCTCAGGAGCATGTTTTATAGTGGACAAAGAGGTATGGCAGTTAACCGCATTTGCAATAGCACTTTTGTACGAGCTCCTTAAGAGGATCCCTTCTAAGTTTAATGACTCTCTCTGTCCTTGTCACACACACACCCCAAAAATTTTCTTAAAAAATTGCTTTGGAGAAAAGTATTTTGTACAGAATGGGGAAAAAACCCTCAACATAAGAAAATTTGTGGGAGGCTTTTTTTCTTTTTGAAGATTTTATTTATTTATTGACGAACAGAGATCACAAGTAGGTAGAGAGACAGGAAGGGAAGCAGGCTCCCTGATGAGCAGAGACCCCAACACGGGGCTCGATCCCAGGACCCTGGGATCATGACCTGAGCCAAAGGCAGAGGCTTTAACCCACTGAGCCACCCAGGTGCCCTTGTGGGAGGCTTCTAAAGCAGTACTTCAAGGAAAATTTATCACATTAAGCACTTACAGGAAAAAAAAAAAAAAAAAGGTCTCTGGGTGCCTGGCTGGCTCATTCTGTGAAGCATGTGACTCTTGATCTCAGGGTGGTGAGTTCGAGCCCCACATTGGGTGTGGAAGCTACTTAAAAAAAGAGAAAGGCCTCAAATCAAGGATCTCACCTTTAGAAACCAGAAAAAGAGAACTGAAATCCAGAGAAAGCAGAAGGAAATAATAAAGATCAAAACAAAAATGAATGCAATAGACAATGAAGAACTGTACAGAAAATTCGTGAAACCCGAAGCTTTAAGATCAATACATTGATGAACCTCTATCCAAACTGATCATAAAAAAAGGGGAATATACAAACTTCCAATGTTGGAAATGTTAGAATAAATAAATAAATATATATTAGAAGTGACATCACTAGAGATTCTACAGGTATTAAAAAGATAATGAGGGGGGTGCCTGGGTGGTTCAGTGGGTTAAAGGCTCTGCCTTCGGCTCAGGTCATGATCCCAGGGTACTGGGATCAAGGCCCCGCATCGCATCCGGTTCTCTGCTCAGCAGGGAGCCTGCTTCCTCCCCACCACCTGCCTCTCTGCCTACTTGTGATCTGTGTCTGTCAAATAAATAAAATCTTAAAAAAAAAAAAAAAAAGGCAGCTCCTCACACTGGGGCTCCAACCCCCGACCCTGAGATCAGGGCCTGAGCCAAAACCAAGAGTCTGAGACTTAACCAACTGTGCCAGGCGCCCTGATGTCACAGCATTTTTGCATAAATACATTACCCTTATATTTCTGTATCTTTTCTTTGTTGGCGAAAGTCCTGATTCCAGTTACACAAATACATGTACTTAATTCGTTTCAGTATTTAACAATAATATGATGATTCACGAAATTTTAAGGCCCTTGCAGATATTTCTACCTTTATATATCACTAGTAATATACAGTCAGAACTTCTTTTTTCTGTGTTGTTTGAATTATTACTCCTTTGTAGGGAAGCTCTACACTTATTGCACAATCAAGATTACATACCTTTTTTGCCTTTGAATTTTATGGATTTTTTTTTTTTAAGATTTTATTTATTTATTTGTCAGAGAGAGAGAGAGAGGGAGAGAGAGCAAGCACAGGCAGACAGAATGGTAGGCAGAGGCAGAGGGAGAAGCAGGCTCCCCGATGAGCAAAGAGCCCGATGCGGGACTCGATCCCAGGACGCTGGGATCATGACCTGAGCCGAAGGCAGCTGCCTAACCAACTGAGCCACCCAGGCATCCCCAATTTTATGGATTTTGATTTCATTTTAACATGGTTTGATAATGTTATTCCCAAAAATATTTATAGTTTTCCCAAAGTCAAACATATAACATCTGGTCAGTTCATAACTAGTGTCTGTTCCTGTCTTTAAACCCTGGTTAGTGACTTTTCTAAAGCAGTCACACTCCTTTTAAAAAATTTTATTATTATTATTATTTTTTTTTTTTTATTTGACAGAGAGACACACAGTGAGAGAGGGAACACAGGCAGGGGGAGTGGGAGAGGGAGAAGCAGCCTTCCCGCTGAGCAGGGAGCCCAATGTGGGGCTCGATCCCAGGACCCTGAGTTCATGACCTGAGCCAAAGGCAGACGCCATGAGTTCATGACTGAGCCACCCAGGCACCCCAGGAGTCACACTTCTTACAATGGCTCACCCTTAAACAGTCTTTAAAGGTGACTGAAAATGTAAATACAAATGTACACACACACAAATATATTTGTGTGCATTTGCATTTCTTTACATTTTTCTAAGTTAAAAAAATCAGGATATGATAGAGTATACTGAACCTTGACTTTTTTCACCTAACAAAATATTTCCTATTTTCTCATTTCACGTATAGCATTTAGAGATTTTTCTCATTCCATTTTAGCATTGTAGTTACTACGTAAATTATGAGTTCAGACTGTTAATTCAGTCATTCCCAATTAATTAATTTATTTGGCATAAGGAGAGCAGAAGTAGTCAGAGCAGCAGGCAGAAGAGGAGAGGCAGACTCCCTGCTGAGGGGAGAGCCCGGCTGGTGGGACCGGGCTGGGTCCTAAGACCCCAGGATCATGACCAGCGCCGAAGGCAGACACACTCAACCGACTGAGCTACCCAGGTGCCCCTTAACTAGGACAGATGTTTACTGATTATTTTTTACGTGGAAAACCAGATGCCATGTTATTTTCTGTATTTTCTGGGCATGAGGCTGCTTATGTAATTCAGTTGTCTTCAGATTCCTGTGATTGCTGTTAAAATGTGTGTGCTGTAAAGTTAATACCATGGGTTCTGTCAAGTTGGAAATAAGTCTCTTATACCAGAAAGTTGTGTTCACAGTGGGATGGTGACGTTAAAAGGGGACAAAGAAGGTGGAAGGAGCTCCCCTGAGCTGAGCCTGGAGAGTCAAGCATCACAATGCATGGCCCACTTATATGTTTAAGCATGCATCATTCCATACTGATGTAAATTAATAAAAATGAGTGAACAATCCATTGGGAAACTTACTTCCAAAGTAGAATGCCAACTAATAAATGTGGGAAGACTGATGGGACTTGAGGATCATCAGTGGTGGCTGAAGCTATGGGCTGAAACACTGACGTGGATCAGTATAGTCACGCAGTTTCAGAACATCTTCTGAGTAACTACATACTACAAATAAAGGGAAATAAAACAACAGGCCCTACAAGGAGTCCCTTATGTTAAGCCCTATATCACCAAACCAAGACTTAATTTAATTACAGTTTGGCCCTCCCAAAAATGGAACCAGAAACCATCAGGATCTCCTGATTAGCACTAGTCAGGTACTTTGCCTGAGGGCCTCCAGCCATCTCCTAAAGGAAAGTGACCTTGTATGAACCAACCCACCTTTTGCCTAGGATCACTTCTTTGTTCCTACTTCCTTCTCCCTTATAAAAGTATTTCATTTTGTACAGCCCCTTGGAGTTCCCTTCTATCTGCTGGATTAGATGCTGCCTGATTTGAATTAATTTTTGCACAAATAAACTCTTAAAATGTTACAAAAAATAAAGGGAAATAGTAATTCTTGAGTCAAGAACACAAACTTACAGAAGTGACTGAAGTTACTATCTGTATTGGTAAATACGGATACCACGTACCTCCCAATATGAAAAGATACAGCATCATTTCTGTGATTTCAGTGTAAAACAATGCAAGAGCAAAATATCATTAGGAAACATTAGAGAAACAGAGGGAAATTCTACAAAATACATGATGTATCATGTCCATGGAACTCAAAGCCTGATTAACTGTTTCATGAAGGAGTGGAGAACAGTGACAACCAAATGCCTCATGCTGTTCTGGGTTTGGTCACGGACCCGTAGACACCAAGGGGCAGTATTAGGACCAATGGTAACATCTGGACATGCCCTGTAGATTACTTAATAGTATTTTACCAATACTGAATATCCTGATTATAATATTCTGATCATATAAAATGTGCCCTTAGGAAACACGCACCAAAGCATCCACTTGTACGGAGGCAATGTATCTCCCCATTAATTCAGATTGTTCAGAAACCCACATGTGTACGTGTGTGGGGAGAGACTGATAAAACAAAAGACACAGAACAAACAACTGTTTAATCTGGGCAGAATTTATACACGAGTATCTTGTACTATTCTTGTACTATAAGTTGAAAACTGAAATTTTTTTTTAAAAGATTTTTATTTATTTATTTGAGAGAGGGACAGTGAGAGAGAGCATGAGAGGGGGGAAGGTCAGAGGGAGAAGCAGATCCCCCACAGAGCTGGGAGCCCGATTCGGGACTCTGCTCCCAGGATTCCAGGATCATGACCTGAGCCTAAGGCAGTTGCTTAACCAACTGAGCCACCCAGGTGCCCGAAAACTGAAATTTTTAAAAATTCAAAAATCAACACATTTTACCACTTCATACAAAATGTATGTATCATAATCAGATGACGCAAAAGATATCATTTGATGCTAATTCACCCATTTTTAGCTTTTTTTTTTAAGTGTAGAATGGGTTTTCCGTTTTAAACATTGAAAATATTCTACAACACACGCCATATGTATGATGTTAATATTTCACCTAAGATCAGAGACAAAAGAAAAATAATTGGGATCACTTGGCCTTCAGCATTACTCCACAGAAACTACCTCATGCTGTACGGCCAGGAAAAACATACATACACATTAGAAAGGAAGAAATACATTGTTCTTTCACCATCTAAAATACATGCCAGAATGCATCATACATACCAGCCCTAATGCGAACATCCTAATGTCAGGACTCCTCCCTCCCTTTTTCTTCACTGCCGTCCTGCTCTCCTCTTTTCCACAGAACCCATCCCCTTCTCACATGCTTTGGGAGTTAGGAACATTGCTGTTTCCTCACCCAGAAAGTAGGTTCCATGAGGGCAAAATTGTTTTGTGTAACTGTCCCTCAGAACAATGTATTACTTAAAATATAACCCATGAGAAATTAGTTACCAAGCACGTTTAGATGCAGCCTTAAGAAAAACATATACTGGCAACAGGCCTCTGGGGGAAGGGACCATATACAGCTTTGAAGCCGAGCAGCGGGGGACGCCCGGGCCACTCAGGCCAGAATGCCGCCTGCTTCATTCTCCCGTACCTCCCCTTCCCCGGAGAGCACCCGTGGCTAATTTGATGAGCTCTTTGAATGTGCTGCTCAACTATAAACTTTATACTGCTTGACCAGACGTATTTTGCCTTCCTTCTTGTTTATCTACAAGGCTTACGATTAATGTGTGGCCTTCTTCGGCCCTTCTGTTGATTACTGGCTATACCTAATAAAAACGGGACTGAGTTGTTGTTGTTCTGGGGCAACAGTCTTTTCTGCTGTCGTCCCCTGCGCCCTTTCTCTTGCAGCTGACTTGTTTGTGCCTCATTCTTCTCCCGTGCGCCGTCTGCAAGCGGCAGTTTTGTGAAACTCATATATCTAAGAGTCCAAGACACTCATAAGATATACAATAAATGATTTCTTGGAGCACTAAATGTCACCTTCACTTTCTTAGCCATTTATAAGAATCCACTCTGCTGCTTATCCTAACTTTACTAAGTCACTACCACTCTCCCTTCAAGTTGAGTATCCTGAGTGCACTCACGAATGGAGAAGAATCCTGTTTTGGAGACAAAATTTTCAAGGTGATTAAGAATCCAGCAAAGCCATGTGCTCAACTTCCTTCTCTTTTTAGATTCCAGTGTACTCTGCTCACCTACCCTAGGCATCAAGGTCCCTCTGTGCTCAAGGACAGGACTGCCACCTCAGTCACCCAGGCACCCCACTCCTCAGTGTGCCCAGAACACAGAAGTGGTCATGTGGAGGAAGGATGGAGGTCTCAGGAGACCCCTGCCAAGCCAGAAGCAAGTATATAGTAGGTCCTGGCACTAACGTGTTAAGACTATATGGGAAGACCTTGGAGTTGAGGGAACAAATCCTCAGATGTCCATCTAGTGGAAAATGCATCACTCCTGCTTTGGAACAAACTGGGGTCAGCATTCCAGGCATGCAAAGAACCTTTGATAAAAACCATGATGTTTCCAGAGGGGTTTCTCCAACTCTCTTGAAGTAAGGCTCAGCCACAAGTACAACCACAGCTACAACACACACCATCCTCCAGAGAGAGGACAGAAGAGGGCAGGGGTCTTTGAGTCAAATGTCCTTTCCAAAGAACAAAAAACCACGCACACTATCCAAACAAAAACTCTTACGAACTCACCAAGAAGGCAGTCATACTATGTGTGCCACAAAATAGGCGCATGCCCACTATGAACATGTGAACTGTGTATGTAGTCTTTTAAAACGATGTGAGGAAGGCTCCAAGTGAGGAAATGATCACTTTATATTTTTCTGTACATTTTTAACCCATTAACATTGATTACCTTGTATATCTTGAAAACTAGTGTTGAAGGACAGTCCACAGAATGAATTTCAAATGACCACCTCCAATGCTGGCACCCAGGGAACAGAAGTCCATGGTGGCAACTGTGAAGCCCACACAAACCCAACCCCTGCATGTACACAACTGGAGTCTCCTCTTCAAATCCCTGACACTTTATTTGAAACCAGACTTCACATTTATAAGATCAGACAACGAGAATACTATTTTTCTGGGCATATCATGACTTTGCCTCAGCTGAGTGTTTCATTTCACTGATTTTAGCAATAATGTGAGCCCCAGAAGGCTGTGGAGAGGGCCTGGGGAATACATAGTCCTCCCCACAGGATTAACCTGTGAAACCCCAACACCACAAAGGAATTAGGCCCTGGCTGAGAAGTCCACATCCACATTTGTCAGGGGCAAATGAAGGAAACAGAAGAGCAGAATGGAATCAAGAAATAGGGAGAGAGAACATTGGGCATTTAAAAACCATAGAAACAGGAGTTTTACTTATAAATACCAAAGCCTTAAGCAGTCCCAAGGGAGCATGTTTTAATGCGGCTGTTGTATGCGGACCCTGCTCTCAGACATCAGAGGCAAGTGGCAGGTGATGTTACTTTCAAAATTCTACCTCCTTCTAAGTTCAAGTACCTCATGACTCAGACTTGACATTTCTCACAAAGAATTATGCTCCTTGTGGGTAGAGATGTGTGCAGCAAGGCTTCCAGCAAATGTCTATAGAGTTGTCCTCACGATCCAAGCTTCCTGACACAGAAGAGCCATAAATACACATAAAAATGAAGGGCTAAGACCCTTTCTCTCCAACATTCCCCCACCAAAATAATAAAACTGATGAAAAACTGTAAGAGGTTTGGCAGGGAAATCTGACAGTTTGTGAAGACATTTGTTTTTTCCATTTATAGTCTAGATTTCCATCCCCTTTTCCTTCTTCTTTTAAAAAATAATGCTGAGATGGCTTTCCAAGCATCAACCAAGGGGAAGATCTGTGGTCGGAGGTCTTTTTAAGTGCACAGTACCCACTGCCTGTCTCCCACATCCTTCTCACAGTAAGGCCTATGCTGTGTCCCATTCCATCTGACTCTTAAGTGCTGACCTGTCACAGGTTTTCTCACAGTAATGACAAGGATGTGGTTCCTGTTTGTTACACATTCTCAGATGGTAAGTAAGTATCTTCTTCTGGCTAAAGACTCCTCAGTAGTTGTGTTCAGAATGTGTTTACCTGAGGCTTTCTCTGACGCTAACAGAGGTGGACCCATGGGTGACCTGCCTTCTCGAAATTCTCTCCGGTGTGAACCCCATGATGAGTGGGCGGAGAGCAGTGGCTGGAGGCTTTCTCATGTTCACTGCATCACAGGAGTCCTTTCCAGTATGACTACTCATGTGCCTGAAGACCCAAAAACAACCTCTCTGACATTCTTTATACTGAGAGGGTTTTTGTTTTGTTTTTGTTTCCTCCACTGTGCTCCCCTCATGACGGACAGAAGAGGAGCAGCAGGCGAAGGCCTTTCTACATTCACGGCACCAAGAGCGCTTCTCTCAAGTATGAACCCGCTGGTGCTGCAGGAGGTGTGACCTGCGTTTGAAGGCCTTCCCACACTCGAGGCACTTGTACGGCGTCTCCCCTGTGTGGATGACAGAGTGCTGAAGGAGGTACGTGCTCCGGTGAAAGGCTTTCCCACACTGGGCACACTCATAGGGCTTCTCCCCAGTGTGAATCCGCTGGTGCTGCGTGAGTTCCGAGCTGCATCTGAAGGCCTTCCCACACTCCATGCAATCGTAGGGCTTTTCTCCCGTGTGGATGATGTAGTGCTGAATCAGGTGTGCTCTGTTGCTGAAGGATTTCTCACATTCTTTGCACTCAAAGGGTTTTTCTCCAGTGTGGGTCCTGTTATGCCGAATAAAAGTAGAGCGGTGGGTGAAGGCCTTTCGACACTGGCTGCACTCGTAGGGCTTCTCCCCAGTGTGAATTGGATGGTGCTGCATGAGGTAGGACCTGCGTTTGAAGGCTTTCCCGCACTCCACGCACTTGTATGGTTTCTCCCCGGTATGAATGAGGTAGTGGCGAATAAGGGTTGAGCTCTGGCTAAAGGCTTTCCCACATGCATTGCATTCATAGGGCTTCATTCCAGTGTGAACCCGCTGATGTCGAACGAGGTACCACTTCCGGTTAAAACCCTTCCCACACTGCTTGCATTTGTAGAGAATATTCCCGGCATGAATCATACGGCCTTTACTGCGTCCCTGTGGGTCACATTCACGGAGAACATGTCCCTGAGACACTCTTTCCTGTAACACCCTGGAGTGCAGATTATCCTCTGTCCCCAAACCGTCATCTTCAAGGCTCATTCTCCCAAGATGGGTCTCTTTTTGAGCATCTGTCCCAGGCTTCAACTGACCTTTCTGCATTTCCACAAGCCCTTCCCAATCCTTGGCATGCGCCCACCTGGAGTCCTTTGAAGATCCCTGAGTCAGGCTTCCCTGGAGCAAGGCTCCCTCAGACAAAACCGGCTGAGGAGTGCTTGGGTCCCTGGTCTGAAGTCTCACGCTATCACCTGCAGAGAAGCCAACACACAGACGGGGACTTTAAATGATTCAATACGGAAGAAACAAACTCAACGCTTCAGTGGGAAAGTGAGGGTGAAACAGCGCCCCGGGACTGCTGTGTTCCCCACCTCTGGATCCTGGGTTTCCAATGACTGTCTACGGTCCTTGTAGCCTTGACACCATTCAAGGGAAAAACCCAAGGACAGGCTGGACCAGGGAACCGAGGATCTGGAGTGGAGACCCCTCCTCACAGTCCAGAGAAGAGGAGGGAGGACAATTCTGAGAATACTGTCTGTGGGGTATTTGCTTCAAGAATTGGTATCTCTTGGTGTTAAGAGAGTACACAGAAGTGGCACCAGATAGGACTGAGAAGAAAAAGAGGTCATCTTCCCAGAGAAGTGTCCCATGAGCTAGGTCCTAATGGAGAATTAGAATTGCCAGAGAGAGGAAGAGGAAAGGAGCACTGGGTTGGAATGGAAGGAACAAGCATGGGTAGGGTCACTCTTGGGGAGTGCTGAACAATTAAAGGAAGAGAGGGCCCCAGATGCCTGGTGAAGCCAACATTGAAGGGTGATCACCATGAAAGGAAGAGAATTAAGACTGAAGAAGAGGGATGGAGGAACACTCTGAGACCAATGGTATAAATGACAAGCTTCTGCTCTGCTGGGAGGCATCACGTGGTGGTTAAAAGCATTCTGCAGCCAGAAAGCCATTGTTCCAGTCCCGCCTCTACCAAGTGAGTGGTCTTGGACGGGTTACTTTCTTCTTCAAAGCACAATTTCCTCATCTGAGAGACTAGCAGACTCTATCTCATTCATGTTCTCCAGGAATGTGACCAAGAGGTCACAAGGAATTTCACACAAAGTTCAGAGGCACTGGTTCCTTGCCTGCTGAAGGCTCCCTGACCACCCCCCACCCCCAACTACCTGTCTGCCCCTACCTGAGCAGGTGCTACGGGAGAGGCCTCCCTTTCCTGTCCACAGCTCCTGCCCATGCTCCAGCAGGTGGGCAAACTCTGCTTTGGGAACTGGATGCCCTGTTGATGGAGAAAGAAACAAGTCATGGTGTACGAGAAGAAAGCAGTATCTTCATCCCATCTGGGACTTCATGGCAGGGCCAAGACTGGATGAAGCTGTGAAGAAAATGCTGACCTGTGACCTGGAAACCAAGCGCACAAATCCCATTCTTGGCTTCAACTGCCACAGAAGGTAGTCCTATCCGTCCAGACAATATCAATGTCTTTGAATCTCATCGGCAAAAGCCATTTCACACACAGCCATGGGACCCCGGGAAGGGGAGCCCCTCCTTCCAGAAGGGATCCTGTAATTAATCTAAGTCACTGTTCTCGAACACCCTGTGCTTCAGAAACACTTAGGGATGCTTGGTTCCAGCCTCAAACAGAAAGAAACAAAAGTGCTTGGGCTGAGGCTAGCCATCAGTATTTCTGGGCGCTCTCGCTAGGGAATTCTCTCTCCCCAACAGAACTAAAACATGCCATGGGAAGAAATCAGTGAATAGCATCTCTGATGGGACTGGTAATCTGAGACAGGCAGGTAACCTGAGCTGAAGACAAAGCCTTTATTCCAGCAGGACAGGAGGCTGAACAAGGGGGCTGCTTCCCCAGTCCCGGCTACAGCACCCCACAGGCCTGCAAGGGAGCCAGCCTGAGGAACAGGGAGATGCCTGGTCCAGGGAGGAGCAGAGAGAACCTTCACATCACTGAGGACAGAACTGTGTAGCTGCAACCTCCAGCCCAGGGCAGCCCCACCCTGCGGCTTCCCATTAGGCGAGATGAGGAATTTCCTTCAAGGAAAGCCACCTTCCAGCTTGCTTTTCTTCCGCGCAGCCAGATACGCTCAACACAGCCAGGTGGGTTCCGCACAGAATTTCAAGGGCTGAGGCATCAGGACCCACGGAAGTCTCCACTGGCAGATTCTGACCCTCAGGCTGGGACTCATTCGGGCAGGTCCCAGCAACGGTCACCGGTGTGTCCTATGTGCCTGGCACTGAGCTCAGGGAGGGGCAGCAGAAAAGGTGAACCAGACGTTCCTTTGGCTCTGACAGGAGTTGAGCCCACTCTCACCTCAGGACCTTTTCTTATATGGTTCCTCTACCTGGAACCCCTCCTCCACCTCCCCTCCAAGCTTCAATGCTCAGTTCCAATGTCACTCCCTGAGATGCCTTCTTTGCAGCACCCATGATGGGTTATGACCACCTGGCTAAATACTCCTAAGTTCCCCTAATTCTCCTACGTACAACTCATCACAACTCATCTAAGAACTGGCGTCCACCTTCCCACCTGAACTCAGAGTGACTGGTCTGTATTCTCACACACACGGCGTCATTGTCACTGATGGCTTCTCTTTAAATGGACCCCATTTAATTTTTGTTAATTATTTTGTTCTAAAATGGAACACTTGTTTTGCTGTGGTAAATGAAAAAAGTCAAGTTCACTTTCCACAAATGGCAGATTACCATCAAAACAACAACAGAATCAAAGTAATGCCATTAGAGCCCAGCAAGTTCATGCAGAGAGCTCCGGACTGTTAGCCAGAGGCTGTTCCTTCTGCTGGAAAAATTACCCACAATTAGGGCACCTGAAATACTCAGCACTGTTCTGAGACTTTCTCCTGACACCAATCAACATTCTAGACTGAGGCGGTCAAAGGACTGGCTTTCTCAAGGTGTCCACCCCTGGCATTTTGTAACATTCCTGTGCACTTTCTAAAGCATCTCCTGCCCCAGTGGAGGGCTGTGACCTAGGCCTCAGGAGAACATGTGATGATCATGAAGACACCACAGGTCTTTTTACAGAGACTGTGTTGTTCAGGAAGATCCCTGGGGCACTGATGACAAATATGGGGATCTGCCTGACTTACCCTCTCTCCTGAGAACAACCCATCACTCACAGCTGTGCTAACTGGGTCCCAGACGCCTAACCCAATAGACTCCTGTGTAGTCTAGAATATGGACATCACACCACAGCCTGAGTGTGCTGGGTCTTGGGTTGAGTCTGCATTCAGAAGGAGGCTGTTTCTATCCAAATGATCCCTGATGCAGACCTGATTACAGGGAGACCAGGTAGAAGGACAAGGACTCAGAAAACTGCAGGGTCTTTGGGGAAGACGGAAGTTGGCTCCTGTGACCTTCTTAATCAGCCAGGAATCAAGAAGGCTGGGCTGCCCCACAGGGATGAGAGGTGAGCCCTTACCCAATGAGACCAGAAGCCTGCAGGTCTCCAGCATCACCTCCTGGTACAGGGCCCTCTGGTCCAGGTCCAGATGTCCCCACTCTTCCTGGGTGAAGGTCACAGCCACATCCTTGAAGGTCACCAAGACCTGAAAAATCAAACAGAGGTAATGATGTTGACCTTGTGCTGCTGGATGGGGTCAGAACCCTATAACTCAGTCTCTGGTCAAGATATGGAGAGACCCAGGCCTGACTTACTGAGGTCTCCTGAGGGCAGAGCTCTGTGCTGGGCTCAAGGGGGAGATATGTGCAGCCTTTGGACATAATGCAATCATGGCTGAGAGAAAACCCCCTCTGGGAAGCTGCTGGAGTTAACAGACAGTAGCATTCCCATGAAGACCATGGGGGCAGACAATAAGTGATCTGGGACATCAGAGGAACAGGGAAAGTGATCACGACGATAATCCCAACAATGAGAACTGTGGCAACAGTAGCTCAGTCTCCCTGGTCCTCCCCTTGTGCCCGCCCCAGCTGAGGGCTTCTTCCGACGGAGATAAAGTGACTAAAAATCCCCTATTCTGGAGCCAGACTCCCAGGTGACTTTATTAAGACTCTTGAATCAGACACTTGCCAGCTGTGACCATGGGGCGGACATCCCATCATTTCTCTAAGCCTTGACTTCCACATCAGTACAATTAACCGTTCCCACTTCACCAGGCAGTTCTGAGAAGTAAAGAGAAAATGTTCACATGGCAAACAGTGGAGTGCCTGGCCTGGAATGTGTTCAATGTATTTTGTGACTTTTACTAACCCTCCCACAGCCCACGAGGTGAATGCCACCGTTACCTCCAGCAGCCGGAGGCTCAGGAAGCTCTATGAAGTTTCCCACAGTCTCACTTTTAAGGAGCAGAGAAAGGATCTGAACACCCAGTAAAAGATGACAGCATTACCAGAAAACAGGCACCTTAAAAAAGGCTATTCTAAGTGGTGACACGGATGCACAGGAGTACAGAGTACAGGGCACAGCCCTGCAGGGACGTGGGGACAGGAGTACAGAGTACAGGGCACAGCCCTGCAGGGGACATCAGGCCTGGGACAAAGGAAAGTGCAAGGGCAATGGCTGCAATATGGGAAGGACTTTGGCAAGTTCAGTACCACCCAGCTGGGTGCAGTGAGCACGGGAAGATCCGAAGGGGAGCACTGAGGTAAGTCTCAGGACAGATGGAACAGAGCCCTGAGGGCCACAGAGGGGGCTGCGTGCATTTGATATAAGTATGATGGGAGCCCCTGAGGGGAGACCCATTCACTCATTCAACCATTTATTGAGTACCTTTTACAAGCCCAGGCCGTTCTAGGTCTTGGCATAGGGCAGCAACAGGCGCTCAGGATCCAGGGCTGGAAACACATCCTAAATAAGCAACTAAAATCAGCAAGACAATGTCAGAGGGCCCTAAAGAATCTAAAGACAAGAAAATAGAGCAAGGAGACTAAAAAGACTGTAGTCCACTTTACGTGGGGCAACACGGAAGGCATCTTTCAGGATGGCACACTGGAGTGTGTCTGAAATAAAGTGAGGGAGGGTGCCCCGTGGATGGAAGGCAGCTATGCTCACCACTATACCACCAACGCATGCCCCGTGGATGGGAGTGAGACAAGCGCTGACCATGATCAAGGCTATGAAGAGGTTACAGGGCTGACTGCTGGAGACTCACCTGGATCCCCTTGGGCGTTTGTGTCCAATGGCACACGCTACTGCACACTATCATCACCGGCCATTTGAATGGACTCACTTTTCAAATCTAACTGAGTGTCTTAAACTGAGTGAAAACAGATTCACTACTGTCAGGGGAAAGCCAGCTCCATTTGCTGTAAACGGAAAGATAAAACTGCCTGGCCTTCCTGGCTCCCAGCCTGCCCTTCCAACTTTTCTGCCCTAGCACGGCAGCAATTCCAAAAAAAACCACTCCTGCGGCTCCTCCACCCCAGCCCTTAGCTTTAGCGGCTAGAGGCCAGGAAGGCGCAGAGGTGAGACTCCCGCTGGGCTGAGCCAAGACCAACACAGGCTCAGGAGACATCTCCGAGGAGAGGTCCCAGAGCGATGCTCCCAGGACCCTGCTGGACACCGGGGACACACAACACCCACGGACCCTTTCTAGTTCCCTCAACCCAGGGACGAGGAACTGTACATACTCCTCCGTTTCACACCTGAGAACACACGAGTCCAGCTTGGGAGAGGACCTCGCTCAAGGTCATGGGGTCGGGAAGGGGCGCGGCCAGAATCCGCGCTGGGCACTACGGGTCGGAACACAGGAGGCGGGGCGGGAAGCGGGCAGGGGTACTGCAGGAGCCACGCCTGTCCCTTCCACACAGCATCCCACCCGCTGCCAAAGAGATGGGCGCTCCCCCACGGGACCCCGACCTGCCTTCTGGAGCCAAGAAGGCCCCACCCCGAGCGCCGAGAAACGGCGGCCGGGAGAGCGGCGAGGCTCAGGGGCGCAGGCTACCGCCTCCCCGCACGTCCACTCACCTGCGTCGGGTCCACAGACGGCGCCATCGGGCCGCGGGGCTCCTGCAGGCTCAGCCCGCCCTCCCCCACGTCCCACAGGGATGCGGGCGAGGCCGGTCGCCATCGTTCCCCGCCCACCCGATGAGCCACCGGGAACTCACAGCCCGCCACCCCGCCACGTCACAGACACGCCCACCCGAGACGCCGGAAGTCCCGCCTCTGCCGGCGGGCCCAGCGACGCCCCTTCGTGAGGCACGGCCTTCTGGGTAATGTAGTTTTGTCCTGCCTCCTACCCAACGAGAAATGCTCCTCTCCTCTTTCTAGGACGGGGGCGCTGGGAGAGGGTGGGCGGAGGCTCCAGAGAAGAAGGGGGCAGCATCGGATACTCCCAAAGGGGACGCACCGAAATTTCCGCAGTTTCCCAAATTGCGTTTTTTTCAATCTTTTTATTTTAAATTTCCTCATGGAGCGAGCAGTCACATTGTACTGTAAATGTTTTAAAACCACGTTTTGGGGCGCCTGGGTGGCTCAGAGGGTTAAGCCTCTGCGTTTGGCTCAGGTCATGATCCTAGGGTCCTGGGATCAAGCCTTGCATCAAGTTCTCTGCTCAGCAGGGAGCCTGCTTGCCCCTCTCTCTCTGTCTGCCTGCTGGTGTTCTCTGTGTGTGTGTGTGTGTCAAATAAATAATAAAATCTTAAAAAAAAAAAAAAACGCGTTTTCCTGCTGCCTCAACATCCTACATACAGGCTGTGAGCACCCCACCCACATGAGCAGGTACCCCAGTGTGATAATAAGTTTAGTCTCCTGTACAACTTCCTTTTCTTGTCCTTCCCTGTGATCTAGTGACATTCCAGGGCATTAATGAATTCCCTTAAGTCGTTTGTGTACTCCCCCTTGACTCCCAATAATGACACTTGTTTAGGGGTCCTTTCTCTCTCTCTCTCTCTCTCTCTCTCTGGGCTCCCCACCTGCTTGGTTGAGCCAGTTGCCTGGCTCCATCTGGCCTCCCATCTGGCCGCTTGTATGAGGTACGGTGCCTCCTCTTCTAGGAGCTGTGAGTGTAAAGATTCCTTTAATTCCATATGCCACTGAGTATAATTTAAACAGCCTTGTTGCAGTGTTGCTTAAAGCCTCCACAAGGGGCACTTACTCCCGCATTCACTGTATGGGGGAGTGACACAAGATATCATAAAGTTATTATTATAGTGTCACTTAGATACAAAGTACCTTCACTCAGAACTTGGAACTAATAAACATCTTGTTGCTCTTCAAATAGACTGAAGCTTTAGAGTCAACTTTGTGAGTTTCACTTCCGGGGTGCCTGGTGGTTCAGTCTGTTAAGCATCCAACTCTTGATTTCTGCTCAGGTCATGATCTCAGGGTTGTGAGACTGAACCCTGCATTGGGTTCTGTGCTGGATGTGGAGCCTGCTTAAGATTCTCTCTCTCTCCCTCTGCCCCTACCTGTAGGGGCCTAGTTAGCCAGAGGGAGCCATTTGGTTGTAAACTTAGATTGACCCCGCCCTTCCCAGAGGAACTTACTTGAAAACGCGGATATAGGCATCCAATCAGTGGGGCGTGCATATATTTACTGTGGTGAGTTGAAATCTCATTGGCCACCTGTGTGTGGGCCGGGTTCAACCACCTCTATAAAGGTTAGTCTATGAGGCTGGGGTGGGGGGGGCAGGAGGAGGAGTTAGAATAGCTGGTGGGATAGCTGTTAGGGTAGTCGTCGGAGTGATAGTCGTGGGGAGCCAACCTCGGGTAATAGTCGTTGGGAGCAGCGCCGCGGGGAGCGACCTCGCTGCCCCGAGCCTTGGCCCCGCCGCCAGCGGCCTCGCCAACCCGAGCCAGGGCCCTGCCGCGAGAGGCCTCGCCAGAGCGGCCTCCTCAGGGGAGCGGCCTTGTCTGGGGAGCGGCGTCTTCCAGGGAGCGGCCTTGTCAGAGTGCCGTCCTGGGGAGCAGAGTCTGTATCGTAGGGGTTGTCGTCCTCATCGTCGTCGCCTCTTAGTCGTCGGGATTGGCCTTGTCTGGGGAGCAGCCTCATACAGGGAGAGGCCTCGCTGGAGCGGCGTTATTGCCCTCGTTGTCATCGACTCTTCGTCGTCGGGAGTGGTGTCCTTGTCGTCGCCTCTTCGTAAGAGATGGCCCCGACCGGTCTGTTTGATTTTCGATGCTTGGCGCGAAATAAAGCTTTGTTTGATTTTTGCTTTGTGTCAGTCTCGTTCCTTTGATAACGGACCCTAACACTACCCCCCTAAAAAAAAGGTGGGGGGGAGGGAGTGCTGCTGCCCCTCGGAACAATTTGTTACTTAAACTGTAACCCCTGGAGGATTTTACTAGTTGCCAAGCACATTTAGATACGGCCTTAAGAAAAACATACTGGCAACAGGTCTTTGGGAAGAAGGACGATATACGACCGTGAAGCTGGGCAGCTGGGGATGCCCGGCCCACTCAGGGCGGAAGGCCAACCCCTTCACAGAAACCGAGCAGCCGGGGAAGCCGGGCAGCCTGCACCCGGCCCGCCCAGGGAGGAACGGCGCCTGCTTCAGGGAAGCCGAGCACCCAGGAACGCCCAGTCAGCTCAGGGTGGAACGAAAACCGCCTGCTTCCCTTCTCGGTGAGCGCTCCTTTCTCTTCCCAGAAGTGCCCGTTGTTAGTTAGATGAGTCTTTTGAATGTGCTTGGTTAACAATAAACTTTATTCTTCTCCTTCCTTGTCCGCAGGACGTGACTAACGTTTGACCTTCATCGGTCCTTCTGTTGGCTATTGTTTCTATCTAATAAAAGTGAGACTGTGGAGTTGCTCGTGGCAGCAGTCCTTTTCGATGATTGTCCCCTGCTCCCAATCTCTTGCAGCTGACTTGTTTGTGCCTAATTCTTCTCCCGTCGCCGACTGGAAGCGGCAAGGGAGAAGAGGAGGAGGAGGAACCAGATGATGTGGCATTTTGCCTATTTCCCATGCAAAAAAAAATTCTTCCCTGTATGGATACATCTCAGTATTCCAACCCCAGCAATCCCACCTGTTTCTCCTCTCCTCCATATATTTTTAACTGAATTTCCTAACAGAGATACTGCTATGGTCTGAATGTTTGTGTCCCCCTTGATTCGTATGTTGAAAACCTAATGCCCAACGTGATGCTATTAAGAGATGAGACCTTAGGGAGGTGATTAGGTCATGAGGGTTCTGCCTTAATAATAGAATTGGTACCCTTATAAAAGAGATACTAGGAAGTTTCCTTAACCCTTCCACCATGTGAGGACACAGCGAAGAAGCTATCTGTGAACCAGAAAGTGGGCCCTCACTAGACACCAAGTCTGCCATCACCTTGATCTTGGTTGGACTTACAGTCTCCAGAACTGTGAGAAATTAAATTTCTGTTAGTTATAAGCCACTCAGTCTATGCTATTTCCTTTACAGCAGCCCTAACAAACACAGATACAATTCATTTTAAAATCTTACACTTAGGGGGCACCTGGGTGGCTTAGTGGGTTAAAGCCTCTGCCTTCGACTCGGGTCATGATTCCAGGGTCCTGGGATTGAGCCCCGCATCGGGCTCTCTGCTCAGCAGGGAGCCTGCTTCTCCCTCTCTGCTCAGCAGGGAGCCTGCTTCTCCCTCTCTCTTTCTGCCTGCCTCTCTGACTACTTGTGATCTCTGTCTGTCAAATAAATAAATAAAATCTTTAAAAAAAAAAACCTTACACTTATCTGAAAAGAAGAGCCACTGACAAATGTTTTTTCCTGCTGTGGTAGTGGCTACTATGATCACAACCTAAGTACATGTGCAAAGGGGGCATCTTATCCCTGAGATAAACATTTGGGGGCACCTGGGTAGCTTAGTGGGTTGAATGTCCAACTCTTGCTTTCAGCTGGTGTCATGATCTCAGGATTCTGGGAGTGAGCCCTGCATCAGGCTCCGCACTCAGTGCGGAGTCAACTTGAGGATTCTCTCTCCCTCTCTCCCTTCCCCCACTCATGTGCTCTTTCTGTCTAAAATAAATTTTGAAAAAACCAGTTCTCTCTCTCCCTCTGCCCCTCCACCGTCCTCCCCCATCTCACTCTCTCTCTAAAAAACAAAACAAAACAAAACAAAAAGTATTTGGTTATTGTTTGAGGATGATGTTAATGATCAAATAATTATTCTGGAAATTGCTAAATAGAGCAAATGTTATCAAGCTCTTTCTTCCCTTTTTGGTACAGACTGTATTTTGAGGTACCTGAATAGAAGATTATGGAAAATTCTTTATGCTTCTTTAGAATTTCTAGCTAATAAATGCTGAAGTAGCAATAGAAGTAGGATACAAATCCGTTTCATTGGTGCATGAAATAATCATCTACACAGTGATGACCACTGCATGCAGACCATGTATAAGATGCATGGGGAATTGGTATGGGATAGAAAACACCAGCAACAAGACTGATCACAAAAGAGACACCCATACATTGGAGCAGACTTACTTGAGGCAGTCACAATTTCTTAGCACTGCGTGTAGGGTATTAGGGCCATTTTAATGTTAAAACCTGTTTAACTATTAGGGCCTGCTTAGCCAGAGCGACTCCATATTGCCTAGGTAGCCATATTGTTGTTTACATCCACGGACTTCATTCTGGGAATAAACACACCAGTAGTTCCTGGTATGATTCCAGGTATCGATTCCGGGAGTAAAGGCCTTAACAATAGAAACCACATACCTTGGGTCTGCGGGTATGCCCTATAAAGCCAGCCTGTGAGATCGGGGAGTGGGGTCACTGTCTTTGGAGGCGGCCCTGGCCAGTCAGTCTGATTTCTAATGCTTGGCATAAAATAAAGCTTCACATAACTTTCACTTTGTCTCAGTCTCGTTCCCCTGGCCGGTCAGTCTGATTTCTAATGCTTGGCATAGAATAAAGCTCTACATAACTTTCACTTTGTCTCAGTCTCGTTCCCCTGGCCTGTCAGTCTAACTTCTAATGCTTGGCATAGAATAAGGCTTTGCATAACTTTCACTTTGTCTCAGTCTCGTTCCTTTGATAATGGACCCCAACATAGGGTATTATGGCCAAAGATTGAATCTGGGTTTCAAAGTTGTTTGGATGGCAAGACTATTAACTGAAATTGGGGGTGTTGGAATATGAGCTCAAGGTGCACTTGAGACATTCAAGTGGAAGCATTGGATTGAGGAGTTAGGAGGGCATTTGGAGTAGACTCAGGATCTTAGCTGAGATTGGGCACTTACTGGCTGGTCAGTTAGCCTGAAGGATGACTAGAGGGAAGAGGCCACAAGATGTTGGTGAAGCCAGTCCATTTACTTGATGGCTGCAGCTGCTTCTGCTGTCAGATGTGAAATAGACAAAGCTAAATGTCATGTTCGTATTTCGAGGACAGGGAGGGAAGAGAGACACAGTGCAAAGGAATGCCTTTAAGTCTGATAGACAAAGAGGAGGACAAATAAATGAATGGAGAATGTGGGAAAGGGTGGGATGCAGAGTATAATACAGACAGTAATTTCAAGGGGAAGAAATATCTTTTTTCCTGAGTCACAAAGACAATCTGTAAGAAAGTATATGATATTATTATTTGTTATGGTTAATACGATTGCATGAATAATTCTAAAATCTATTTTGTCTAAGTGTTGCTAGCCTTGTTTCATTTTCACTTCCATTTGCACGGCAAATGCTTTTTCATCTCTTCGCCCCAGTCTGCAGACGTCTTTAGGTCTGAAGAGGCTCTTATAGGGAGCATAGACATGGCTCTTGCTTTTTAATCCATTCTGTCACCCTACTTTTGACTGGAACATTTAGACCATTTACATTAATTATTGCTAGGTATGTACTTATTCCCATTCTGTTACTTGTTTTATGGTAGTTTTGTTGTTTTTTCTCTGTTCCTTTCTCCTCTCGCTCTCTTTTCTCATGGTTTGCTGGCTTTCTTTAGTGATATATGGTGATACATATTTCTGTTGTGTGTGTGTATATATATATATATCTCACATATATCACGATATATATGGTGATATATGGATCCCTTTCTCTTTACCTTTTGCATATGTACTACCAGAGGTAGCTGGTGCCTGCCAGGTGATTTAAGTGAGCAATTAGAGTGATTTTCTCAACTCTTCACTTCCCTGAAGTCTTTAATTTGGATCCAGCCAAATCTAAGATAGGCCTTGATTGCCCCCAGCGTTTTCCCCCTGGGCTTTGCTAGTTTCCAGAATCTGAGTTTCCTCTAACTTTTAATTTCTCTGTGGTGATTTTGGGATATAGTCTGCTGCCCATCTTTCAGTTCCCTGAAACTGTCTTGAGATAGCTACTCCATAATTCCCTCTAGTCCAGTCTGATCCCGCACCCCCCTCCACTGCTGCCACAGCATTTTGGGGAGGCTTTTCACCTTGTCTTGCTGGAAAATCTATTTCAATTTGACATATACTGAGGAAGACCTACCAAGTGCCAGGTTCCATGTAGACTGCTGTGGGCAACCTAACAGATGAAAATCCCGGCCCTCCATTTGATTAAGTTCCATGATGGAGGCAGGGGAGTGATAAATGAAAAACAAGATGAGTAGGTAGAATATTGAGCTTGCCCAATGGCGATGTATCTCTCATCTTCTATGGAATGGTCTCACTCCTCATGAGAGAGGCAGCAGAAGAGCTGAGTTTCATAGAATCTCTTCCTGTTGCCTTTCTTCCTACTCAGTGCAGGACAGTCCCCCACCAGCCAGATTTTCAAACCAGGAGACTCACACCACTGTAACTTCACCTTCACACTGTCCTTATATTAAGTGTCTCAGGTATGATGTACTTTCTCAACATAAAGATAAACACAGATTTCTCTCTTCCCATTGAAATGATCTTTGCTCCAATCCCTGTGGGCTCTTTGCTGAAGTAGGAACCTTTCCTCTGGGGTCCTGGGGATTGCTCCGATTCACCAGCCTGGGACTGACACAGGAGGAGAGAACATTAGCCTGGTTCTCTGCCACACTTGCAATCCAGCAATCTCAGGAAATTAGAAAGTACTAGCAAGTTTGTGTGAGACTCACTCAAGACAAAACTTGGCCAGAATTTATGGGAGACTAACGCTAATCTTGTATTCTCCCTCAGTGTGAGTGTTGTCACATCTCACTGCAGAAATATTAATGTGTTTGATTGTGGCCAATTGCTCCCTGCCACCAGGGATGTTATCTCATGTGTCGGAGAGCTGAAGCTGGAGCAAAATGGACATGCCATCAGGGATTCAGTCAACAGGAAGATTTTATCCAATCACGTCTGTTAAACGCATCATCGACCCCACACCCTATAAAAGGCAGGAGCCTTAAGCAGGCAGAAAAGCCTGTGGAGATTTTGGCCCAGGAGTACCCAGTTGGAAGGTCAGTCTTCCTGAGTAGGTGAGTTTCCAGAACAAAAGGGAAATTTCCAGTTTTGTTGCTCATGTTTTGTGCATGCTTATGTGGGTATAATCATTGCGGGGAAACACCTAGTTGCAAAAATATGGGGCTTATTCAGGCATTAGGTGTGGTGTGTCTCTCAGTTGAATGCGGGCCCCCAAAGGTAGGGTGGCCAGATCGGGTGGAAATCAGTGTCCTAGCAGGTGAAAGGATTCACTGACGCAGAACGAAGTTGATAGAAGTTTATCGAATACACCACCAGGCAGCCGGCAGCTCCGCAGACAGACTGCTTGTAGTGAATGGGCAATGGGCTGGGGGCTGTTTTTAAAGAAGGAAGGTGGGGAGGTATGGTGACGTCAGGAATTTTTCAGTTTTTTTGGTAGCTATTCCTGCTTGTAAGTAGCTCACTGATTAGTTAGGGCCTCTGGATGATTTGAGGTGGGTCACCTGATGGGGGTCGCTGTGGTCCTTTCTGCACTCCACTGCTCAAGCCTGTTGCCTAAAAGCGGCGGCTGCTCTGCCGGGGATGGTCTATTCTGACTGATGCTCTGGCTCCGTAGGTATTGATGTTGTGGGCTTTGTAAAATCCTGGCCAGATTGAAAGAGTTCTCCCTTTGGAAGCATTTTGTACAGCTGTGTTGTCTTGTTAATTTTGTTTCTGGTAAGACTTTTAAAAAAAGATTTTATTTATTTACTTGCCAGAGAGAGAGCTGGAGCACAAGCAGAGGGGAGGAGCAAAGGGAGAGGGAGAAGCAGACTCCCTGCTAAGCAGGGAGGCGGGTGAGGAACTAGATCCCCGGACGCTGGGATCAAGACTGAGCCACCAGGCGCCCTTCTAGTAGGACATTGTTACAGTATCTTGTTAGAGTGTTGGTCCAGAGGGGATGGGGGGGGGGGGTAGGGGCCAAGAGTCAAAGGGTAAGTACCAGCCATTCAGCACACCCTTATGAAGGCTTACCTTGTGCTAGGTTCTATCCATATGCTTTACATATGTTAACTCATTGAGTTCCAGTGACAAGTCTAAAAGCTGGGTGTTTTTAAGAATTCTGTGACGGGGCGCTTGGGTGGCTCAGTCGTTAAGCATTGGGTCATGATCCCAGGGTCCTGGGATCAAGCTCCACATCAGGCTCGCTACTCCGTGGGGAACCCTGCCCCTCCCTCTCCCACTCCCTCTGCTGTGTTCCCTCTTGCTGTGTCTCTCTCTGTCAAATAAATAAATAAAATCTTTTTAAAAAAAGAAAAAAAGAATTCTGTGGCAGATGAGGACCTTATTGGTAACTTGCTGGGGCCGAACAGCTTGTTCCACACCGAACCTAGCAGTCAGCTTTTGAATTCCAAGGTCTTAATCACAATGCTCTACAGTGGTGTCCCTGTGGGATTGAGTACTTGCCGGCAAGTGTGACTGTGTGGTCTGTGTGTGTGTGGGGTGGTCCTGAAGAAGAGAACTTGTGGGGAGGCACAGATGAAGAGAGCTGCAGGGGGGAGAAAAAGACGAGTGTACCTGGATGTAGACACCTAAGATGGGGGTAGAAGGGTGAGATGGCCCAGACAAGGCCTCCTGAGACCGGGAAGGACTTAGTACTTTTTCCTGATGGCAAGGGAAAGTAACATAGGGGGGACTTGAGGAGATTAGCATTGTATACCAAAGTCATCTGGATTAGGGAGAGGAAAAAATATATTCCATTTTCTTCTGTGTGTTCATCTCTATTTCATTTCTAGATGGGATCGGGATGGCTAATCCTGTCAGACTTACCAGATGAGGATGACACTGAAATATCTTCTAACAAAACCCAGTTCATTTTCTGTGCCCACGTAATACACCGATTCCTCATCTTTTTGTTTTATAATATGACATTTCTTTTTTTTTAAGATTTTATTTATTTATTTGACAGAGATCACAAGCAGGCAGAGAGGCAGGCAGAGAGGCAGGCAGAGAGAGCAGAAGGGAAGCAGGTTCCCTGCTGAGCAGAGAGCCCGATGCGGGGCTCGATCCCAGGACTCTGGGATCATGACCTGAGCTGAAGGCAGAGGCTTTAACCCACTGAGCCACCCAGGCACCCCTATAATAGGACATTTCTTAAAAAGATGTTATTTTTCAGTAATCTCTATACCCAACATGGGGCTCAAACTCATAACCCTGAGATCGAGTCACATGCTCTACCGACTGAAACAGCCAGGCACCCCAGTAGGAAATTTCTTAAAAATACAGATCCTGGGGCACCTGGGTGGCTCAGTGGGTTAAGCCTCTGCCTTAAGCTCAGGTCATGATCTCAGGGTCCTGGGATCCAGCCCCCGCATTGGGCTCTCTGCTCTCTCGGGGGAATCATAAAAAAAAAAAAAAAAAAAAAAAAAAAAAAAAAAAAAAAAAAAGGTTTATCATCAGTAAGGTTGATTAATTAATTAACCTCATTAACTAAAAGAGGAGTGTCTTTTTATATGCTCTTGTGTAACACTAGCATTATTTCTTTCTTATTTTTTTTAAAGATTTTATTTATTTATTTGACAGACAGAGATCACAAGTAGGCAGAGAGGCAGGCAGAGAGAGGGGGAGATAGGCTCCCTGCTGAGCAGAGAGCCCGATGCAGGCTTGATCTCAGAATCCTGAGATTATGACCAGAGCCGAAGGCAGAGGCTTAACCCGCTAAGCCACCCAGGCGCCCACATTATTTCATTCTTAAATGTCTCATAAAATTCACTAGTGGAGTAATATGGGCCTGAAATTTATATTTTGTTTTTGTTTTTTAAAATTATTCCAGTGATAGGGGCTCCTGGGTAGCTCAGTGGGTTAAGCAGCTGCCTTCAGCTCAGGTCATTATCTCAGGGTCCTGGGATCGAGCCCCAAATTGGGCTCTCTGCTCAGCAGAGAGCCTGCTTCCTCCTCTCTCTCTGCCTGCCTCTCTGCCTGCTTGTGATCTCTGTCTGTCAAATAAATAAATAAAATCTTTAAAAAAATTATTCCAGTGATATAATTAAATACACATTTCTTCTATTTTTAGATTGTAGTTTTTTAAAAGATTTTATTTATTTATTTGGGAGAGATTGAGGGTAAAGAACAGAGGGAAAGTGAGTGGGAGAAGCAGACTCCCCACTGAGCAAGAGCCCTATGTGGGACTTGATCCCAGGACCCTGAGATCATGACCTGAGCTGAAGGCAGAGGCTTAAACCACTGAGCCCCCCAGGCACCCATAACTTATAGTTTTTAAGGATCCACCATTATCAGTGCTATGCAATATTTGACTATTATTTTAACTAGTAAAATAAGATAAAAAAATACATCCAATATTATTTATAGATGTCCTGATTTTGTTTTGAAACAGATCTCCAGAAACACTGGACTTAACAAACTGAATCCAGAAAGTTGAATCTCTGATAAATATCCCTAAGAATAGATTCATTTCTGTGTGAACCATCTATGGATGACCCTGGATCAAAAAGTAAACACTTTACACCTGGCCAAGGACCTGCTTTCCAAAAGGCAGAGGACATTTCTGAGTTCCAGGATGCTCAGCACAACTTATTTCAAAATGGCAATGGCTCCCATGCAAAGCAGGAACTGCAAAGACTCTATAAATCATTTTACTCATGGCTGCAGCCAGAAAAACACAGCAAGGACGAAATCATTTTTCAAGTGGTCCTGGAACAGTTCCTGATCAACAGGCACTGGAGTGATCGGACTACATTGAAGAAGAAATGGGAATCCAGTAGCAGAAACCTGGAGAAATTCATGGAAGATCTGAGTGATAGTTCTGTGAAGCCACCTAACCTAGTGAGTAGAAGGTTCTTTTTCCCCTGGAGTGAAGGGCCGAAAGGAGTAAGGAATAAGTAGTCAGTAGGAGGCAGCTGGAAGACAAAGAAGTTATCGTAGATGCCGTTATTTGTCAGATCACACTCTTCCTCACCAAGGGGAATCTTTACCAACCAAAGTGAGCAAAAGTAAAGTGTTCCAGCCATTCTTTCAGTGGGACGTAATATACGAACCGACATATTAATTTAGTTCATTGAGATTCGTTGGAGAGGGGTGCCTGGGTGGCTCAGTGGATTAAAGCCTCTGCCTTCAGCTCAGGTCATGATCCCAGGGTCCTGGGATCAAGCCCCGCATCAGGCTTTCTGCTCAGTGGGGAGCCTGTTTCCTCCTCTCTCTCTGCCTGCCTCTCTGCCTACTTGTGATCTCTCTCTCTCTCTGTCAAATAAATAAATAAAATCTTTAAAAATAAAAGAGAGAGGGGCACCTGGGTGGCTCAGTGGGTTGGGCCTCTGCCTTCGGCTCAGGTCATGGTCTCAGGGTCCTGGGATCGAGCCCCACGTCGGGCTCTCTGCTCAGCGGAGAGCCTGCTTCCCTTCCTCTCTCTCTCTCTGCCTGCCTCTCTGCCTACTTGTGATCTCTGTCTGTCAAATAACTAAATAAAATCTTAAAAAAAAAATTATAAAAAAAAATAAAATAAAAGAGAGAGATTCGTTGGAGAGATGGTGGAAGAACTCACTGAAAAGTTGTCGGTTGGGCAAAACTTCAAGGATGAGATGAAATGCCTTGACAAGAGCTGGATCTTCCCTCAGAAAACTGTAGTATTCATCTTCTTTATTTTTAAAGATTTAATGTATTTGAGAGAGGGTGTGTGCCCCAGCAGGAGCGAGGGGTGGAGAGGGAGAAGGAGAAGCTCTCCACTGAGCAGGGATCCTGATGTGGGCTCAATCCCAGGACCCTGGGATCATGACCCGAGCAAAAGGCAGATGCTTAATGCCTGAGCCATCCAGGTGCCCCTTCATCTTTTTTCATTAGGAAAGACACATTAGTGAAGAATATGTAACAGTGATCACTGTTTGTTTATAACAGGTCCGTGTCCACATGCAGGGACAGGAAGCCCTCTTTACTGAGAATATGGCTTTAAAAGAAGTCATTGTCCATCTAACAAAACAGCTGTTAATAGGATCCCCAGCAGGGACGTCCATGAGGACACCTTCCTGGACTCCTCAAGATACTTCCCTGGAAACAGGACAAGGTGAGTGGGGTAAGCCGAGGTACCAGAGGGATTCATGCGGCTCCTTCTTGGGCACGACTTCACCGAGTCACTTTATCCCCCACAGGAGAGAAAGCTAAAGAAAATGGTGACAACATTTATCACATAAATGACAGTATTACCAGTCAAAGCCGAGAAATACCTTCCCTGCTCATTATCCAGGAAGAGGACAGTGTTTCTTTGAAGAATCCGCTTAGCTCCAGAAGAGCAGCTCTAGGCACATCCGGGTCCCAGGAAGGGGCCCTGGAAGGACCCTCCTATCAAGATGTCCTTACAGAGGGGGGACCAGGGTTTCTCTCTCAGCCAGTCCAGGTCACCCCTGAGCCTGTTCCTACCCACCAGAGAACTGAGGGGAAATCCCCATGTGGGGGACAGCAAGGAGGACGCCATGAAACCCAAAAGTCATACAGATGTGAAAAGTGTCCTAGGTTCTTCAGGTATCTCTCTCAGCTACAAGCCCATCAGAGAAGACATAAGAACGAGAGGACATTTACTTGTGCTGAGTGTGACAAAGGCTTCTTCCAAGCGTCAGACCTACACGTGCATCAGAAGATTCATGCAGGAGAGAAGCCTTTCACGTGCAGCACGTGTGAAAAATCCTTCAGCCACAAAACCAACCTTCTGGCCCATGAGAGAATCCACACAGGAGAGAAGCCCTACGAGTGCTCCCTCTGCCACAGAAGCTACCGCCAGTCGTCGACCTACCACCGCCACCTGAAGACTCACCAGAAGAGGGCCTCCAGAGGGCTTCCTTCCACACCAGGAGCTTCCTCAGGTGCAGCCCCAGTGGAATGATGTAGAAATACGAATGCAGATGCGTGCATTTCCATGGCACTTCCCTGTTTAGAACGTGTCATTTCCTGATTATATTGTCCGTGTACTGTCTTCACTAAAATGTGAGGTGAGAGAGGAATTTCTTAGTTCATTCACTAGAGTATCTCACATGCCTAGAAAGGTGGCTTACAGATTTCAGGTAGCCACAAAGAGTCTGCTGCATGAATGCACGAATGTGTAATGTTGGTGCTTATTCCTAAAACCCAGCAACGTTCAACCATAGGACACAAAGAGCAGCTCCCAGTGGTCAAGGGATGCTTTCCCTCCTGCTCCCCTGTCCTTTGTTCACACTTTTTTTTTAAAGATTTTATTTATTTATTTATTTGACAGCGATCACAAGTAGGCAGAGAGGCAGGCAGAGGGAAGTAGGCTCCCCACTGAGCAGAAAGCCAGATTCAGGGCTCAAGTCTAGGACCCTGAGATCATGACCTGATCGGAAGGCAGAGGCTTTAACCCGCTGAGCCACCCATGCGCCCCTGGAAACTTGTTTTAATTTGGTTATATACACATTTGGATATAAACATGCACAGTTTATTTAATCACCTTTTAATTTTTCTCCCCCTGTATGTAAGGGTGTGTTTTCAAATCAATAAGTAATTTAGAGCTAGCATTATGCCGGCCACACCTGCGTTGGGTAAGTATCTGGGGTGTAAAGTTCTTTTTTTCCCCCATGCTCTTAGAGCAGCAGGCTCTTCCCACCCACCCCCGCCCCAGGCTTTGCTTCTGTCTTTGGTTGATAAGCTGAAAAGGCGCGGGGGGGGGGGGGGGGGGGGGGGGTGTGCCTCTGGCCTCTCCAGGCAGTAGCCACCCCTGGTAAGGTCCCAACCGCAAGATAATCAGCCTTTTCGCCTTTGTTCTTTTTCTTTTCTTTTCCCTCTCTTTTAGCAAAACCTTTTAGAATAGCTCTTATCAGGCGCCTGGGTGGCTCAGTGGGTTAATAAGCCTCTGCCTTCAGCTCAGGTCATGATCTCAGGGTCCTGGGATCGAGTCCCGCATCAGGCTCTCTGCTTGGCGGGGAGCCTGCTTTCTCCTCTCTCTCTCTCTCTGTCTGCCTCTCTGCCTACTTGTGATCTCTCTCTGTCAAATAAATAAATAAGATATTAAAAAAAAAAGAATGGCTCTTATCTGTAGGCAGTTAATTGTTCCCCCCCCCACCTCCTGCGCTGACCACTAGACCATCTCTCCAAGCCGTGGTCTCCCTTTCCAGGGCGTCCCGCTCAGTCTCAGAGGGCTGGGACCACGAGCCACCGCGGGAGGGATGCGGGGTGGGGTGGGGGCAGCCAGGACCCTTAGCATGAGTCCGAGAGGACTATGCTGGGAACCTGCCGCCTGCCCCCACAGGGAGGGGTGCAGGGGTGATCTTTCCCAACCGCTACTGAAAAGCACTGAGCGTTGCGCAGGGGTCTCAGCCCTCAGCACGTAGCGGGGTGCCTCCGGGGAGGTGCGCGGCTCGGTGGCCTGAGACCTCCTGAAATCCCTGTCACCAGAGGCTCTCGAAGAAGTATCGCATCTGGGAGCTGGAGGAAAATTTCCTCCTCCTTGTCGGGATCGCAGCCGGAGAGCGGTGTCCCGGGTGCATTGCTGGGCTGGGAACAGTGTCTGTACTTGGAGAGGCCAACTTGGCTGCACTGGGAAGGAAGGGGCAACACCGAGCAGCACGGAGCTGGGCGCTGATAACCAAGACAGGGAGCCTTCCCGGTCGGTGCAGACAGTAGGCTCAGTAAGCAAGCCCGGCAGTAAGTGCTCAAAGGCATCTCTGGAGGCCTCTCCCCAGAGTTCAGAATCGTCCCATTCCCCTTTCAGAGTCTTTAAGGATCCAACAGGGCAGCAGAAATTACACTTGGAGAGGCATATGAAAGTAAAGAATTTATTGTACTCACAGGTCCTAGAAGACCGAGGCCAGGTGCAGACTTAGGGGGCCAGATGGGAGGACAGCCCAGGAAGGCGGTTCGACAAGCAGGAGAGGACCAGAGGGAGACAGAGAAACAATAAACACCAACAGGAGTCAGAGACGGGGAAAGCAAGAAGGGGAACTTGCGGCAGGGACCAGCCTTCTCACATTGGTGTATTTGGTCTCCTGGTCTTCACAGGCTGTTTGTGGGGATGCTGAAGCATCAGGGAAATAAAAAGTTTAAAAAATTTTAGCATACTGAGTGTGTCTGTGTGTTTGATTGTTGTGTTTCCGTGTCCCTAATAGCATCTCTATAAAAATAGTGAGTAATAAGCATTGGGCTGAAAATCTCCACGCTCTTCTCTTTTGGTTGTGGGTTTGTTAGGGTACGGAGTCGACCACCCCTCAATTAGACAGAGAACACTCTCGATAATGCAAGTCACACAGCGAGGTTTATTTCCCCTCGCTGGGGTCCGAGTATCTGCCCGGCGCAGTGGGTTTCAACAAGGACCCCGAGCACTCAACACCAAGGGTTTATATAGCATTTTTTTAAAACATCCAACTCACAGTAACTTTCCATCACTTCAGAGACCATACATACTTTTGGCTTGCGCCCCGCTGGTGGTTTACTAAGATAAGTTCTCTTCAACATCTGGTCCCCCCTGGTGCATCTGCCTAGCCGCCCTGGTGGTTTAAGCTGATTAGCTGCTGCCTGGGTGTTGCAGTGTGGGGTACTTTCTTAGAACTAAAGCAGGGAGGGGTTCCCTGGAACTAAAGCAGGGAGGGGGTCCCAGGAACTAAAGTAAAGTAGGGGAAAGTTTAGTCCTTGGGCGTGAGATGGCTGTACTTATGCTAACCCACTCTTAGATTTCCCCTGTTAGTTGTTCATAATGAGGAATCTTGTTCATTTGTAGGGCAGTCGTGGGGGCCCTCAGGAGTGGGCAACTTTTCGTACTGCTGTCTTAAGACCATGAGCTGGACGGTATTAACACGATCTTTTACAAAATTAATAAGCTTATTCAGAATGCAAGGGCCAAAAGTTAGAATGAGCACAAGCAAAACAAACGGGCCAACTAAGGTAGAAACTAGGATGGTGAACCAGGGAGTCCTATTAAACCAAGCCTCAAACCAGTTCTCCTGTGCTTCCCTCTCCTTCTTCCTCTTGGCTAATCCTTCTCTCACCTTAGCCATGGATTCTTTCACTACCCCAGTATGATCGGCATAAAAGCAGCATTCTTCTCCTAATGTAGCACATAGTCCCCCTTGTTGGAGGAACAACAAATTAAGCCCCCTTCTATTCTGGAGTACTACCTCGGACAGGGAGGTAAGAGATAAAGGAATTGTTAAAGTAGACTTACAGGATCCTGGTAGGACCTGTTGGGGTAGGGGGTTGGTCAGGCTAGGATTGTCCTTAGCAAAACCTCAAGGTGAGGGCAGTTAAGTCCCCAGCGGAGAGCCACTCTGTCTGTTTCAGGGGCTTGTCAGTAGGTAAGGAATTTTAATGATTTTCTTCTGCCTCTGTTTCCAACATCAGCTAAACTTGAGGTGGGATGGCCTTAATTTTCTCGGCCTCCACAGGTTCAGGATTCTCTATTGTGCCTGTGACATTACATTTCCAGCAAATATCTGTGGCCCATGCAAAGTAGATGCAACGTCATCTCCTATTTAGAGAAGTAGAAGTAATATTAAATAAAAAGTGATAACAAGGTTGCAAAAGTTGGAGAGCAGGAATGACCAGGAACTGTAGATGCCTAAAGGTCTACCTACATGTGACCCTGATGTGTAACCAGACATAGAAGTGCTTTGGTAGACTCTGAACTCAGCACTCACTTTGGATCTGTTAAATTTGTTGGAATTTCTAAAGCTTTCGCCCCTCTTAGCCTTTGATTAGTGGTAACTTAGTCTAATTGCTTAAGTCCTAGCCAGAAAAACTGTGGGGTGGGCATTTTCCTATTACTGGCCATGAAAGTGAGACGTACCCAGCTTAGTCCCTAATTGTGCCTGCACAAGGACATGAGGTAGTTGTCCGTGAATGACCGCAGTTCTTCAATGGCATGTTAATCTAGGATTCACTGAGATTCACAGAATATTTTCAGTTTGCCTATTTTATTTTTAAAAAAATTGTAAACTTTTACATACTCTCATTTAATTAAGTTATTTTTAGCTTCTCTTTTTGACATTGCTTATGAAGTACTTGCCATAACTCTTGGAAGAAATACATTTCTAAGTGGTTTATTTATGTGCTCAATACACACTTTTAGAGCAGTGAGTAAACGTGACACCACAGATTCCCTGTTTACATTTACTCTTCTGTCTACTCTAATGTCCTCTTCAACTCTCTCCCCAAGCTGATATTGCTCAATGTGCTCATGAATGAAAAAGAATCCCCTTGTGGAGACAATATATTCGAGTGACCAAGGTTCCAAGACAGACACATGCTCAGTGGATTCTCTCATACCTAAATGACTTCTCAAATTCACTGAGGTCTTAAATTTTTTCACCCTTCCCTGATGTTTTCCCAGAGCTTCCTGCCACTATCTTTAAAGAACTACATAAACACCATCAATAACTCTGTCATTTCTATTTCACTACTGTCTTTCAGAGATAATCTGAATTCCTCTTGCAGAAATTTCCCTTCAGTAACAGGAGAAATGATCATCATTCCCCAGCAAGCTGATGGGACCATGCAGTTCAGGCGCTCCCTTCCTCTTGAGATTCAGGTACCCCCTTAATATTGGGATTCATGTGCTCCTTTTGCACTTATGCTGAATGTGAAGTCAGCAGCCACTGTCCCGTACCAAAATAGCATTTGTTGGGGGCGCCTGGGTGGCTCAGTCGGTTAAGCATCTGCTTTTGGCTTGGGCCATGATCCCAAAGTCCTGGGATCAAGCCCCACCTCAGGCTCTCAGCTCAGTGGGGAGTCTGCTTCTCCATCTTCCTCTGTGCTCTCCCTCTCAAATAAATAAAATCTTTTTTTTTTTTTAAGTAGCGTTTGTTTAGTTTCTCTCCACTTTGAGATACATGTCTGATTGCTGAAAGGAGTTGGATATCTTGGAATATAGGGAAAGAA